GGCTGCCTTGTTCTTGACAAAGCAGAGTTCAGGAGCCAGCATGCCATCCTTTAAGTCCGTGCTGAACCATTCCTCCCTACATGATTTGTGAAGTGGGAAGGGTCTGGGGTGACTCACCCACACCCCCTTTCAACTCCAAAAGGAAGGCAGAGATTTGAAATCCTGCCTCACTGAAGTGTATTCAGATGTGTATGACAAGTAATGGGCCAGTAACATTCCCCAGGGCACACCAACCTTGTATATAAAAAAAAAGATACACAAGCTTAAGTCATCAGCTATTTCAAAATACACCCCTACTAGCTACTCATCATGGACTCCAAGGTAGAGTGGCTAAGTCAGTGGTGTGCACAGCAGCCTTCCAAACGGTTTGACTTGGGTTCAGTTGCCAGCCTGAATATTTCAGAGGCGGTACAGTCTAGCAGACAGGATCCTTGACTGCAAATCAGGGGCTCTGGCTTCTAGATCCTGGGTTCTACTGGTCTGCTGTGTGAACGTGAGCAAGACACTTCATCTTTCTCTGCCAGTGTCTTCTCCCACTTTGTCCGTCTTGTGAGCCCATGGGGGCAGGGCTGTCATGTGTCTGTACAGAGTACGTGGCCTGGAGCTCAACTGCTGTCACTAGGTGCTACTGTAATATAAATGTTCAGTAATAAATATTGATCTATCATTTAAGTGCTATCAGCAATAGATGGGGTGGAATCCTGGCCCCACTAATTCTATGCGAGTTTTGCCATTTACTTCAGTGGAGCCAGGATGTCACCCTAGACGAGTCATTCTGATGGGTAGCGAAGACTTGTGGCTTACTGTTGAAATTACTTAAGGCATGTGGAATCATGATGCCAGTCTCTCTCTCTCTCTCATAGTTTTAATTACTGTATGAAGCATCTAGACACTACGGAGAAGAGTGCTTTCCAAAAATACTAGATGGGTGTAGGGCAAACACAACTGAGCGGAACTATTTACTGTAACACTCAGATGGAAACAGAGTGCCAAATTCCATAATTAGTGAAGGCCCAAGTTCCCTATCAGACAACTCTTTCCCCATTTGTTGAAGTAGATTGAGAATGGATAGCTTATTTTTCATTACAGGAGGAGGACTGTGATGCCTGTTTTAGTCAAATTCTTCATATTTGAATAAACTGTCTAAAAACCTCAGTTAAATGGGTTGGTTTGTAGTTTCCGGGCACTCATCTGTATCAAAGAAGGTTTCTATGTACAGATGTAACAGCATTCTGCGAGTTGCCACAAACCAAGTCTCCAGATCCAAACATCCCTTGACCTTTGGGTGGGATTTGGAATCTGGATTCTGCAGCTCAAGCCTCTCTGGTTTATTTTTTCCTCCTCCCTCCAAGTGTTCTTTTCACCTCTCTCATTGATAAATTGTGTCTTGGAATCACCCAGCTCCCACCGATATTAATTTTAGTCCCTGGGAGAAATTGCGATTTCCTGTCAGGAGCGGTTTCTGAGACAAAACAGGAGCCCTGATTGACGCACAAAAGGAAATTGAAAAGTCTATCTTTACTCCAAGATGAATCAGAGAAGACCTCATCTTTCAACTAATTAGAAATGTGTGTCCCAGCCTGCTGTGAAATATTATTATGGAGCCTAATGGGCTCCTCAAGCTTAATTTAATCACCATCATTTCTGGTGCTCTCTCCTTTTACAAATGCTAAACAAGTTGAGTTTGGGAAAGATTTTTGCATTGCCCTGAGTGTGCTGGAAATAACTTCATACTAGCCTGAAAACACGGAGCCAGCCCTATGTGCAATAAACTGGAAGGAGGTGGATGGGTCTGGCTCTGTACAGGGCCACATTAACGATCTGGAATTCTTGGCCCACCAGTGCATGGGCCCCCTTAGCCCCTATCCCAGCCCCATGCTGTGGTCCTACTTCTGCTTGTGGTGGCAGTGGCCACCCTTACAAGAGCTGGCTTCTGGAGTGCCCAGTGTCACTTTCTGGGGCCGACTGGGGCCTCGCTGCTCTTTGGACCACTGTGGGCAGGCTGGGGTATGTTCAGGACGACAGATAACACAGCTCCACTTACTCCGCTGTAGGCATGAAACTCTCTGTATGGGTCCCTCTTCCCCTACGGGAGCCACAATGGGGGAGAAGAGCTAGACCATCTGCCCACACCGAATCTTCTGCTGGGGCCCCTCAGAGCAGTGGGTTTCAGAGTTAACAACCCACTAAGATGGATGAGGCCGTTCACACCTTTCAGAGCTACTGTTTCAGGCTGCCTGCAGCCTAAGGCAGGTGTCACTGCATCAGTTATATGTGGCTGGCTTCGCAAACATGAGAGCTAGAACATTTTTTGTAGATGAAGGCTGAGATTCTGATGTTATCACATGACTCTAGGAGCTGAGGCCCTATGCTGCCTATGTGTTAATGCAGTCCCTGATATGGGCCCCTCCTAGGAGGTCCTGAGCACATCCTGAGACACTGAATGCCCCAACTCCCATTGGTTTCAGCACCTTGCAGGAGACGCTTCACAGCTCAGAGGATCAGACCCTTTAGTGAATAGCTCTGAAGCTTTTCCACACAAAACCCCCCTCGCTACTCTAGAGAGGCTCCCTTATCAGCAGTGAAGTGCAGTGTGTCAGTGCCAGCCATGTGGCATGGCACTGAAGGTCGCAGGAAGGCCAAATTGGATTGTAGCCTGGGACTGTCAGGCCCCGGGCCAGCGAAGGCTGCAAATGTGATATTTGCAAAGGACGTTGGCTCTGAAGGAGGTGATCATCTGTCCTCCTTCATCTGTGGAAGTTGTGGCTTATGGATGGGAGAGAGAGAATTTAGCAATGAAAAGATTCTAAGTGAAGGCGTTTTTTGAGAAGGTGGGGGGGGGAGTGAGGGAAGGAAATAAACAGTGATTAAAAAGTGTAGATTAGTAACCATGCCTTTAATAACTTGTAAATATAATTTTAAAATTTCAAGCAGCTAAGATATACATTTGTTGTCTATGCCTGACATCTTCAAAGTAAACCATGTGTTGATGACCTATTTGTTTGGTTTCACCCCTTTTCTAAAGCATACAAATTAAATTCTCAATCACCTTAATATACAACAGTTTTATGGACAAAAATCTCACCTGATTTCTATCCTTTCACTGAAGTGTTTGCTATGCAATTATAGCTGCAGAACGTAATATTTCATTCAACAAACAGAAAAACCCAGATTTAAGCTAATAGAAGAAATACTTCAAGAGGTTCTCTCCCCACTCTCAACCTCCTCCACCAAACAAAACACCCAGAATCACAGCGCCCATTTCCTAGAAGAAGAAGAAAAATGGCAAGAATATCTAGGCAACTCTTTTTGGACCCAAGGCTTTATTTATCTCAGACATCACAGTGCAATGATTTCCCCTTCCACAATGTTCAGCCTCTAGCAAAGAAACTGCATTCACATCTGAACAAATCAAATGGAACCACATAGGGCAACCCTGCGAGCCCAAAGTTACACTCCTAGAACCATGTTCCAGCTTCTACAAGAAGTGGCTTGATTTTCAGAGGGGCTGGGCCTCTGCAGCGTCCATTGACTCTATGGGAGCTGGGGTTGCTCAGCTGCTCAGAGTTAGGCCATTTCTATTTAGATGCCTAAATAAGAATTTCGGAGTCTGATTCAGGTCCCCAGGTTTGAATGTTTTGGGCATGAAGTTCCCAGCACAGGCAAGTATGAAGGAGCAGTAACTGAACCACTCCAGAATCTACGTCAGAGGGTTCCCAACCATGGCACAGGTACTGTATTGGCACAGGTATTGGTACTTTAGGCTTGTATCACTGATACGCTACCTGGGCTTCCCTTAGGACTCAGCTTAGGGTTCACTCCTGTGAAGTGCTGAGTGCCCCCATGGACACTGAAGCCAATGGGAGATGCACGCTTCAGGACTGTGCCCAGAATAAGAAGTGGTGAATAAGGCCCAATTCTGTTTCCACTGAAGTCAATGATAAAATTTCCACTTATTTCAATGGGAGCAGGAGCAGGTCCTTAGCAATGCACCTCTGCCCTTAGCCCTGATGTATTGCCTGGCTCCCATTCAAAGTGCATGTTCTAATTCCCAGTTGAGCTAGGACTTCTCCTGATCAGTCTTATTACAAGACTGGAGTTTGGGGCAGCCTAGGCTGCATTGTAGGGTTAGATCACATACAGAGGGATGGGAGACAGTGGGCACTGGCTGCCCCACCCAAAGTATTAGCCTAATTCCCAGGTTCGGTTGGTCAAACTGGTGGGAAAGCTCTGAGCTTGAGTGAAATCAAAATGACTGAAGGAATGAGTGAACATAAAAATAAAGTGAAAATGTGAACCTTATTTTTTTCAAATCTATCTCCCACTGCTTTAGCTAACAAATCTACTACATAAGTGCAGATAAGTCAGTCGCCCAACACCCTCTTTCACAGTCCTCATGTGCACGCAGAACTAAAACAAATTCACAACTACAAGTGCAAAGAAAAAGATAGTTACAATCTTCCGAGCTCCTACTTTGTGCATTTATGGAGAGCTCAAGTTTGCTGATAAAAGCAAGAGCAAAGAGGTTCATTCTTCTGGAGTGCACAGATGAAAATCTGCCTTACCAGCTTCTAATACAGAGGGTGTCTAAACTGACATAAATAATCACAGACTTGATTAGAAATAATATATTATTCTAGACTTTTTTTGTTTTTTAAGTTTTCATGTAAGACCTTTATACTCTTGACATCTATGTGAACAAAGAATCAAACTAAAACAGGCACTTCTCAAGCGCTATTGTGTTGTTAAATGACATGTGGGAGGAACTGAACAAATATGATTTCATGCCTATGATGGGAAATTAGGGGAGATCTTCATGGTGTTGGCTTTTTCAAGTCTCGGATCTGTTTAATCAAGTAGTTCTTCTCATCGGTGAACTGTTCATCATCTGTCCTCTCTTTCTGGAAATTGCTCAGAAACTCAATTAGCTTCGGTTGGTTTTTCAATAGAATCTCCACGATAGGCTGCGTTTTGTTTGGACTGGCCACAAATACCTAATATGCAAACAAAACCACACACACAGAGAGACAGAAAGAGAGGGATGAACAATCAGAGTCATGACACTGCCCTACATCATTCTCTGTTGAGTCAACTGAATGCTGGTGGCCAGATTCTCTGGTGCCTACTCTGTATCTACTGAGCGCAGTACCCAGTGAGGGGGAGAGGGAAGGGGCTGCATATTTGTTGTTTGCAGCTACCTGACCCTGTGGCCAGTTCTATACTGACCTCAGGCCCAGCATAGTTTATAGTAGCCTCCAAGATCCTTTAGTCTAAAGTAGGACAGCTGGCTACGGTTCCCAAGAGGTTGTCTGCCAGCTGGAGATTAGTGCAGTTGCACTCTGACCACGACCCTTCCATTTCTGACAAGCATCAATGCCTCCGGAGCTGCAGGGAGGGCATAGGAACAGATTGTGCTAGCCACATATTAGCTGGGGAGCTCCAACAACTTTCTTGGCCCTTTAGTAGCACAAAGCGGCCAAAACAGGAAAGAAAATCTGACCCTGTATCTTAAACATACGTTAAAGTTTCCCATGATCTTGCTCATTAGCAGCTGGAAGTGAAGTTACACTTGGCCTTGTTATCACTCTCCCTTATTCTGTTCCTTTTATTGACAAATGGTTTGATTGTAATGCCAGCTGTTGAAAGGTGGCTATAAATCCCTGATCACTTCCACATATACAGCCCTCCCTCATGAAATGTCTTAAATCCATATTTACTGGGAGAACAGACGAGTCTTGTGTTGGTGATAGAATTTCCATATTAAACTGAAATGGCCTAAAATTAGACCAAGCAGATTTGTTTTGGTTTGTGAACTTAGGTCACATCCTCCACTGCACCCTAGTCCATTTTAGCAAGCAGGCTGTGAATGGAAATTTACAAGAGCAGGATCCACGTACATTTCAATCTGTTTGCTAAGATCACAAGGACACAGCAGTGAGGCAGAGCAGAAGGATAGTGTAACACGCTTACATACGCAGCTCACTGCCAGCCCAGTGCCTTGGAGGTGCTGTCTGTAGGTCACCCAGGTGAGAAGCTGGGATCTTCCCTTTGTAGCAATCCTGCACTTGGGAGGCACTTGCCTTTTGTCCTCCCTGTAACTCTCTTTTGGCTCCTCGTTAGTCTGGCTCCGAGGGCTTCTCCTGCTTACATCTGCAGCCTCCTTCAAAGGGAGGTTCCACAGCAAGAAGCCGTAGCCTGTACTGATGCCTAAGCATATGTCCCCCCCAGCCTAGATCCCAGCCCCTGTGCAGATTCCCACATCCCAGGAAGGACAAGGCCACTGAAGCAGCTCCCCCACCATACCACAAGGTGCAGATTTGCACCCACAAGAGTCCTCTTTTCAACAATCCGGCCCTTTGTTCGGAACTTTTAAAGTCATGGACTTCTTTTACTTCCTGGTGACCTCTAGATGTTCACAAGCAATGGCACCTGACTCAGCAGTGCAAGACTTCACCACAACCCCTTTAGAGCCACCTCCTTGCCAGATGCTTCAAGTTCTCAAAAAGTAGTGTCTGTTATTAGGGGCATGTTCCTTGTTCTGAGAGGTAGTCAGCTCATGGCCCCTTTGAGTGCACTGAGAGGTACAGATAGAGTTTGTTCAGCCACTGCTTTGGCCATTTAAAAACATTCCTTCCATTACAAATAATCCTATTATACAAATTGCATGTTGTTTCCCACAGTTCAGATAAATAAAATAATTGTTTGAGAGAGCACAATGCAAATGTATTTGCAATGTCTTGCATTTTCAGAAGTATCTAATGATTTGGGTGCCCCATCTGAGACACCTTAAAGGAGCCTGACATGCAAAAAGCACCCATCCACAGAAAATCAGGCCCCTTTAAGATGTCTCAAGTAGGCCACACAAAAATTAAAGCACCAAAAATGATTAGTCAATTTGAACATTTAGACCACCACTGTATCTACACAGTATGAAAGGAACAGCCTGTGAACATGCTTGAAAGGATTTAATTTTAACACTGGCTGTAGCCTAAAATATGTATTAGCATAGCAAATGATTAAATGTGAGATGTCTCCTATTAGACTGAATTCTTTAGCTTCTTGTCTGATTGCTTATAGGTTATAATCCTCCCCCTGAAAAACTGGCATAAAAGATAGAAAACTCAAATGTAAATCATCTTTTGACTACTAGACCTACTGCAGGACTCAATTTCAACTCACAAATACTTTTTTCAAACCCTGGGATCATAAAAGGATTGTAAAACTGAATGACCGGCTCCCTCAATCAACTACAGTACCACAATGTCACAGTATTGAAACAAAAACTTTACACATATCTACAACAAACAATCTTTATACCTTGAGGCTAGATCCAGTATGAGGTTTTATTTTTTAAAGTCTCCTGCTAATGCTTCACTTGAAGACAATTTAAAAAAAAAAATACTCTCTCTCTCTCCCTGGAAACAACATCAGTATTCCAGCTAGTTGGAATATTTCTGAAAAAATAATTTTGTGGAGATATATTAGTTTCAACAACATATCTGTCAGAAGGGTTTTGTGATTGAGAGTTCTCTGGTCATTTCGGAGGAGTTTTGACACAACTCCACTTTGTGAAAATGTTTGAAAGGTTGTTTTTTTTCATTCCAACATGGAATGAAAACAAATGTCAAAACTCAAAAGTTGCCATGAAATAGAACTGTTGTCCTCTAGCTGGCTTTAAATCAGTATTGTCCATCAAAATTGATAAACTGTACACTCCATATCCACTCCATAAAGTATTTGATCAGAGAGTTCTGGAGTCTGACCTTGGTTCTCACAATTAATGACAACGCGTCATCATCATCCCAAGGGAACACAACAGGGATAAAGATACTAAAATGGTCTGATGCTCGATGCGTCATTGTGTTGTCACTAATAATCTTTGTTTTTTTAAGCACGGAGGCCAAGGCTACTAAATGTCACAGGATCTTGATGAGAATAGTTCACTGCAACCTCTGACCTACTTTCAAATGGTTAGAGATTATGGTCCAAATCTAGCATGCATAACTCTATACATTAACAGGCCAATTGACCCACCAGGGCTGAAACTGGTCCCATGATTTTCTCATATGCATCGCAGGGGGATTACCACCTCGCTAGAAGTGCATGAAAGCTCACGTAGCTGCACCTACAACATCCCCCACAGACCAAAGAATTATCAAGTCTATAGCTCAGAAATAACACAAACTCGGCTTCTGCCCCATGCTGAGCAGAAACGGTCAGTATTGTCAAGTTATGCAGAACCGTTTGCAGAATGAGCGACAGGAGGTAGCTTTGTGGTGTGCATGAAAGAGAATGGAAAAATGAAGCTAAGGTCAATCTATTTTTAGATTTAAACACTAAAACCTATCTTGCTACATCTCTGCTTAAGAAAAATGTGATCTTATCCTGAACCACCACTGTGGGGTGAGTTCACAAAATAATTGAATTGTTTAACATGATAGTCAAAAGAGGCTGATACTATTCTATATTTGTATGTGCATTGTGTGCAATATACTGCAGTGTGCTTTACTTTTGATTGCCTGCAAGAGAACAAAGAAGCAAAAATCACATACTTGGATGGACCAATAATAGTAACACACATATTTGTCAAAAGAAAACACATGAGTATTCAGAAAGACCCTTTTATTGTTCAACTTCCAAACCAGATATTGATTCTCCTGCTGGAATGGAGAGGGAGAAAAGGTGTGTGTGTGTGTCTGTGTGTGCGTCTGTGTGTTTTATTAACACTTAAGATAATCACTAATCCCTTTGTTTTTGTTACTTGGGGTCTACCTATATTCCCCAGGCTTTTAGGTGGCCATAAGTGGGTGACTGGTTGTGTGGGGTGGAGGCTAAGGGTTGAAGAGGTCTCATTTTGTTCAAGCAAGGGTATGGGAGGGAGCAGGAATGATGAGGGAGGTAGAGGTCATGCTGGTGAGGGAACTGGGCGGAAGTACTGAAAATTAGACCTCATTACTTCTTTTCTGTACCTCTGGGCAGAGTACTCTGGATGAGTACGACTGTCCTCTGGGCTTGAAGAGTTAATTGCATTTTTAATTACCATCAAACTTAACTGTAAAATATTGAGAATTATAGATGCTCATGGTTCTAGTTAAAATATTGCAGCTTCAAACCCTCAATAATCAGATACTGCCTCAAGGAGCTGAGAGTCATATGCCTTCTTCAGGGTCAACTGGGGCCTGGGAGAGCTGGAATTTGGATACTTACATAACAAGCACTTTTTTCATTTCAAATGTGCCTAGCTGCAAGAACATCCAAGTCAGGTAATTTAAACCCAAATCTTTTGGCAGCTCGCAGTAAGTAGCAAGTATCAGCTGCTTGGCAAATCTTTGATTTCATATCGGTATTGGCACTCTGTGGTAATTTAAAACCGGACTAACTGGATACTTTCAGCATAGTTTTAAAGTTATGTGAAAATAAAGACAGAGAGCCCGACTTCCTCCCCCACCCTCGGTTACACCAGCATACAGCTAGAGTAACCAGGGGGAGAATCAGGCCCAAGGACTCTGCACCCAGAGCAACAAGGCACATCACTGCCTTTCACCTGCCAGAAAGGGCGTCGGGACAAGGCAGTAGTTGTTTTTCCATGAAGCGTACATCCTCTTTCATATTTAGGGATTTCCTGGATTGATTCCCATCATCAGCATAGAATTTATGAATAAAGGAAAACTCAGGACAAAATGCTCAGTGCCCTTCTCTCGTGCGTGTAGTAAGTGAAGGCCCTGATGGCCTGACTAGGACTTTTGGCACTGCACAAAATACATGGGTAGGCACTGTCCCTGCACTGAAGAGCCTACGAACTGGATGCTCCGAGCACGAGAAACAAAAGGACAGTGGACACTGGGAGGAAGGATGAGGGTGACAGTAATTATATCATATGGTTACATAGATAGCTATGATTACAGATCACTCCAAATCCTCAAATTTCTATTTTAAACAAAATAAATAAATAAAATCATCTATTCATCACTGTCTGATTTCTTGGAACAGCCCAGCAGAACTGGGTGCTTAAGAGGAATCTGAAACAATAGATGGTAGTGGCCTTATGAATTAATTCAGGGACTGCACTTCATGCATAGAAGTTCCATGCATAAGTACGTGACTATTAGTAAATATGAAAAAGTAGCTAACAGAGACCAAATCTCTGTCTTCTCTTCCCTCCCTTGACATTTGAGCTCTTAAAGACTGCAAGTATTTGGGATTTGCTCTCCCCAACTTATGTTTGAGCTGCATACCTCCTGATAAGGGGTAAGAGCAGAAGCTACTCACAGCAGTTTGGTTGTCAAGAATAAGTCAAAGGCTTACACAAGTAATTAAGTGCATCACTGAGGTTTATTATGCAGGAAGCAAAATATTGAAATATGTTGGGAATCCCTGTGATTACTTTACGTAGATGAAAGATTGTATGGAGCAGCCATACCATCCTTCAAGCCGCATGCTGGAGATGTAAATGCCTGCTGAAAGATCTTTTGCACAATAGAAATGGCAGAATCAAAGGCCTCAAAAAGCCTTTTTGAATATTCTGAGGGTGATGTAATTTTTGAAAATACTTGCCATTTGGTGCAATGTGGTCCGTTTTATAAACATCTCCCAGGGAAGGACATTCTCCCCCCTCCCATAGGTTTTATCCCTCTTCTCTGCAAATTAATCTGTTCAAACTATGAAAATACAGCCATACATATTTATGAGTTAATTTTGCATTATAGTAGCTCTGCATAATAATAATTCTACTCATCTTCTTGCTCAGGGCAAAAAACTTTTTGGATGGGTAAATAAAATTTAAAAAATTTAATCAAATCATGATGATAAAAGAAAGTAGTGTATGTGCCTGGGCGGATAATATTTTTATGACAATTTTGTAAGGCTGCATTAGTGATCAGTACAAAACAGAACCAGAAAGAGGAGGATTAAGCATATGCTGGGCTCAAACTTATCAAAGGCAAATCTCTTGAAATAATATAAAAATTCCCATTTGCTTCTGCCTCACCCAGAGAGCTAACACTGTCTATCTAGGGTCTTACCCAGCACTGTAATATCTGATTGCTGGGTGCCATCCACATCAAATATTTTGGAATCACATGACTCCCCCAATTCTTACCCAGAGTCACTGTGACATGACCTGAGAAGAGCACCATCGACCCCAGCAAGTGGTTACCTGCAGCAATCAGCCAGGCAATTTGTCATCCCTTTCTAATAATGCATTGCTGTAACAAGGGCCCCCTCAGATCACTAGGCCCAGATCCAAATGACCCTGCCTTAGACATCACCTAGAGAGGGCAAGCAAGCGCGAGAGAACTGTCAGGGACAAATTTCTTATTAAAATATTTTCAAATGTTTGAAATGGTCTGTAAAACCCCACATTTTTCTGGGTTCTCCTCCCTCCCATAGTGAGAGAGAGGTTACTTCCTCTCTGAAGGCCATGCTGAGTTACCTTGAACACATGGAATGCCTCAAACTGAATGTTGGGGCTTTTATCTCGCAGCAGGTTCATCATTAGCTTCAGGTTCTCTGGTTTGCTGATGTATTTTGTCATGATGGCAAAGTTGTGTCGGTCCAGAATCAGTTCACCCAGCAGCTGTGGGAACATTTACAAAAACAAAGGCTTTGTGACTCACCACAGAATTTATGATTCAGATGAAAGCACCACATTGTTATCTTCACTCCCAGAGGTTTCAATAGAGTCTTATCTTAGGCCATGGTGGCTTAAAAAATGGAGGGCCTTTAAAAAAACTGAGGTGAATTTGCAGTACATGCAAGTGAGATAACTGTCCAATAGCACTGATCATGCAAATAATGCAGAGCTAGATACCATATTAATGCATAGAGTAACAGTTGGATTGAGCCAGATAAAATAAAAGCAAGTACAACCACCTCAAATTGTTGTGCTAATTCACCTCAATCCTTACATGCCCCATACTTTCCTGTTCTAGTCATGAGAAGACTGCAGATTTTACCAAATTGCTTGGTGCATGGACAAATGGGGACTACAACGAACCTACCAAACTCACTCCCACCTGTGTTCTGAACTAGGCTGTGAACTCAGGTGACTCTGAGAAAAGAGGATGACACCCTCATTTCAGAGAAAGGACTCCAAGCTTTGCCATAGGAGTTCAGGAACTACGACTTCTCAATGCTAACCCCAATGCAGTAACATAAAGATACCTCCTGATTTGCACAAGCACTAGATTAATTTAAAAGCATTTCTTTTGTAACCAGAAAAAGAAGTATACAAGGCCACTCTGTGACAGTCTGTGTAATAGTCTGAGCATGTTATGGCTATTCAAAGAAAAGTGTTCAGGAATTTTACATTACCTTTAAAGATTGTCTCTTTGTGACATAATTCTCAGAATGAAGCAGTTTTTCATAGTCCTCAAAGATCTAAGGGAAAAAGAAAAAAACAGTGTAGCCATATTCTTCCTTCTCCCCATCCCCCTGTACTGGTCCTTCCTGCACTAAGCTTTGCGATGGCAGCAGCATAGCTGTGGCACTTCTTTATGATGCCAGAGCCCAGCCCATATTGACCACTGATTAGCAACATCCAATCAGTGTTTGCTTGCACATGTGAATCCACCAGAGAATCAGGAACTTAGTGCCCTTGTGATTCACACCTTATGCCATCATCTTATACAAGATTATGAATTTGCTGCCAAAATAGAACACACAAATATAACATTAGTAACCAGAGACCATCTGCGGTAACTGTTATACCAACATAGGATTATATAAGTAGAGTGCCATCTATGTCCCTGGAAAGGCAGACAGAGAAGGATGGTGGAAGTCTGGCTTGTTAGAGTGACATTGCTATTTTTAGTGGGTTTCTATGCATGCATCTAACTTGCCAATTTTCCTTTTTGCTTCACTTCAGTTGTCCTCATTGTCATTACTATTCGCTATACCTTGGAGGCTTAAAGATCAAAATGAAGGCACTGCAAACACAGCATGGGGCCATATAACAGACACAGAGAAATGTAATGGAGTCATGTAATGTTTATAATGCCACCTCTTAATGTTACAGTTTCTGGGCCTCACTAAGTTCTGAGGACTTTCAAAGTCCCATTGAGTTAGTGGGAGTTGAGGGTTGCTCAGCACCATCCAGGATCAGATCTCTTGTGCTAAGACATTTTGTAGTTCTTGTTCATTAAATGTAGACAGAGCCATAGGTGGGCATAGTGATTTACAAACAGATAATCAGCGCTGAAAAAAAATGAATTTGGAGAGAGACTCAACATGTTATACCAAGTGGTTAGAATGGGAGGAAAAGGTAATGAGACTACTACTTTGTGTAGTGCTTGCATAGTTTCATTTATTTTATAAAAAATGTAATGGGCCAAATCTTAATGAAACTAAAATCAATGTAGCTCCGTTTATTCATAAGTGTAGCTCCATTGGCATATGGCCCAAAGATCTCCTAAAAATGGGGCAAGACTCAGGGCCATGAAACCTCAGCCAAGGGTTTTAATTAATGATTGTGGGAAGCAAGAGCCAATCACTCAGACGGCTAGACTGTGCCGCTGTCTATGCTGCCATGGCCACACTGCTATTTTTAGCAAACTAGCTCACACAGAGCTAGTGTGTGTAAGCCTGCCTGTGGTGAGACGCAGACGCTCAGCTGCGATGTAGATGTGCCCTCAGGCTCCAATCCTGCACTGAGTACCAGATGGGTGGAGCTTTGTGTTTGCACAGAGCCCTGGGGAGTCAGGGCTCCATGCAGCGATCAGCTCACATGATTCATAATGCAGAGGTTTTAAGTGACTTGTTCAAGTTCATCCAGCATTAACAGCAGTTAGGAAAATAATATACAAGAGCCATGATCTGCAGTCCCCACTTTAACCACTAGATCACACCATGTGATGCAAGTTCAACGTGGCACTCAAATGCCTTACCTGCACATTACACTTTGGCCATTAAAATGAGCAGCACCTTGGAAAATTTGGTTAACAAAATGTTTATTATTGTTAACCAGACTTAAATGGTGATGGTGACAATTTGATGGTCACAATTTCTTCTTGACCTGGTTGATCTTTCTCATGTTGAAATATCATTCACTGTTTTTGCCTGGTTGGTATGGCTGTGTATTTGAACAATGAGGTTATATGCAAACAAATTTAATGCATGTCTTATTTGAAGCTAACTTTAGCTTGTTCATACTGTTGCAATTAAAAAAATAAGCAAAAATATGTTTGTTAAAATGAAAGGGTGCTGTGTCAAAGAACGCAGTCCCTGGCTGTCTCATCATTCAAGGAGTGAACATGGAATGATACCTCCCATCTCGCTACATGCCAATGGTGGGCATTTGTCTGCATTGCCACAAACTTCATTCTCAGAGCCAAATCTGAGCTCAGATGTATGTGTTTAACACACCCTGATTTCAGTGGGAGTTGTTCATTTGTATCTCAGGGCACAATTTGTCCTTTATTGTTTAGAATATAATGGGAACGTCTATACAGCAAAGAAAACCCTGCGGCAGTGAGTCTCAGAATCCAGGTCCACTGACCTGGGCTTGTGCTATAGGGCTAAAAATGGCAGTATATACTCCTGAAGGAATTCTGTGCCAAAAAAATTAAAAATTCTGGAAGTTTTATTTGTCAATAAATAAATGCAGAGGCTCCAGCATGGCAGTGGGGAGCACAGCTACTGGCTGCATGAAGGTGAGAGATTACCCTGCAGCTTCCCCACTCCCAGGACACAGACACAGTGGTGAGGCTGCACCAGACCCTAAAACAGCACAAGGCCTGGGCCTGCCCTAGAAATACCCTAGGGCCCTGCCCCTTTACCCCAGGCGCACCACATGTGGCACAGGCAGGCTCAACCAGGCAGGATCCAAGTGTGGAGGAGCTCAGTGTGGGGAGATCCAGGTATGGGGTGACAGGATTCTGTGTGGGACAATCTGGGTGCAGGCAGCTCAGTGAGGGGTCTAAGTGTGGGGGGGATCTGGATTCACAGAGGCTCGCGGGGGGGGGTTCCAGGTGCAGGGGCAATGGGACTCTGCAGCGGCTTCCAGGTGAAAGTGGTTGGGGCTCAGAGGAGGTGTCTTGGTGTGGGGGTCTCAGCTGGGGGGTCTGGGTGCTGGGAGAATGGGGCTTGTTGGGGTGGGGGTCTGGGTGCAGCTAGTTGGGGGTCAGTGGGAGTCTGGTGCAGCTAGTTGGGGGCCAGTGGCATGGGGGTCTGGATGTGGGGGCTCAGGGTGGAGCAGGGGATGGGGCTCATCAGGGTGCGGGTTTGAATGCAGGGAGCTCAGTGGGGGGTAGTCTGGGTGCAAGGGTCCGGAGGCAAGGGGTCTGGATGCAGGGGGTGAGGCTTGGTGGAGGAATCTGGGTATGAGAGGTCCAGATGCACGGGGTTTGGGAGGATAGGGGAGCAGGTCCCTGTACAGTGACC